CCTGGCGCCTCCTGTGGCCGGGCATCGTCCGGGCGCGTGAGGGGAGTTGCACCAAACGGGGTCATCGGGGCCACACGGGGCAGCACTACTCAGTGTCAGCCCGAGTGACGGGGGAAGTGGGGGCCCCGGATAACCCGCCGTGGGTCGTCTTCTCAGTCACTCCCCACACCCCGTTCCCCGAGGCAGAGCGGGGACAGGGGAGAACAGCCACGGGCCAGGGTCCGCGTTCACACGTCACGGCCCCAGGCTCGCGGCTTCCCTCTGGACCAGCTGGCCTCATGGATGCCAGCGGCCGGTGGATGGCGACCGCCGCTCTGGACTCAGGCCTCCCCCGGAAGCCCAGGGGTCTCTTGTGGTTAATGCCTTTGAGGGTTGAGTGTGGATGGCATTGCCGTGTGTCCGGGGTCTAAGATGAAGCCTCTGCTGCTTCCTGGTGGCAGGAGGGTGGAGGGGCCGGGGCGCCCGTCACCGGCTTTTTTTTTTTTTTTTTTTTTTTTTTTAATATATTTTATTGATTGCTTACAGAGAGGAAGGGAGAGGGATAGAAAGCCAGAAACAACCATGAGAGAGAAACATGGATCAGCTGCCTCCTGCACGCCCCCCACTGGGGATGTGCCCGCAACCAAGGTACATGCCCCCGACCGGAATCGAACCCAGGACCCTTGAGTCCGCAGGCCAAAGCTTTATCCACTGAGCTAAACCGGTTCTGGCCCGTCACCGGCTTTAAGAAGCATGGCCGGCAGCTGGGAGTTCGCAGGATCCGCACACCTTCAGGAAACCCGCTGAGGGCGCGGCTCGGGGCCTGCACTGCCTCTCTCTCTTTCTCTCACTCACTCTCTCTCTCGCTCTCGCTCTCTTGAAAACCAGATACAGACATTTGTCTCAGCCTGTGAGACCGCAGAAGGTCTGAGGCCGTCCGCAGTTAAGGCGCCGAACCAATCCGCTGCCTGCACTTGGCCGCAGCCGCCGGCCCCCTCGCTGCCGCCACCTGACAGCCACCCGCCCCGGCCTGGGCTCGCGCGCGGTTCCCTTCCCGGGTGGTTCCCGCCTGGTGGCCCGCACGGCACTGAGGAGCCATGCACCTGGCTATGTGGCAGGTTCCTGGCCCAGCGCCTCGGTCCTGTCGTCTGTGAAGCGGGTGCCAGTGGCCCTGCCTGATTCCCCTGAGGGTTAACCAGTGGGTGTGGGGGCGGCACTGGGAGCCGAGTCCTACACGGGGGTGAGAGACTGCAGGATCGCCCCGACGCGTCTCGACGTCACTGCTGCGTTTGGAGCGTCTCCGTGTGGGCCTCAGGGTGCTGGTTCCACAGCACACCCCCACCCCACGTCCTGTCTTCTCACGCGCCACCGTGTCCGTGCCCTGCGCCCAGTGCAGGGTGGTCTGCACGCTCTGGCCGGGGTGCTGGAGACGAGACGCGATGAGACAGCTCTCCGCCCCTCCTTCTGTCAAGGGTGCGCGAGCAGAGGCCCGTGGGGCGTGATGGCGTCCTGCAGTGGCTGGCTGCAGACGTGCTCGCGGAGCCTCGAGTTTTCTGATTCTGTCAGTTTTAACCCCGATCGGTGAATACCGGGCGTGGGGGTGCAGCGTGCGTGGAGGGGCTGCTCTGTGGGAATGAGTGGGTGACACGCAGGGGCTGTCCACGCGCAGCCTGCCAGCCAGCTTCCGACACACCGTGTTGGAGTTGGCCGTGACGAGTGCCCAGGCCAGAGGCCCAATGGCGACGACAGCATGGCATCCACCCCCTGGAACCTGACCTGGGCGGAGAGTTGTTCGATGTGACACCAAAAGCACAGTCCGGGAGAAAGTCATTTCTGAAAAGAGTCCGTGTCGGTATCATTGAAATTCAGAACTTCCGTTCTGCCCAGACCCTCGTAAGAGGACGGGGAGACGAGCTGGTCTGCCCGGCCTCAGGCTCTGCCTGAGTGTCAGGAGGCGGCGTGTCCGGGGTGCCGGTGGAGCGAGCGCCTGTCCACGGCTGATCTGCTGCTGTCCCCCTCCGGGTGAAGTCTCTGCAGCCTCGTGCCCGTTCCCTATTCGGAGGGATTTGTTATGGCCGAGTTTCCGAGTTCTTCATCTGCTCCAGGCAGTCCTCCTGTGGGGCCAAGGATGTCCTGAGCTCGTCTCCCCGTCCTCTTAAGAGGGTCTGGGCAGAACAGAAGTTCTGAATTTCAATGATACCAACACGGACTTTTTCCAGAAATGACTTTCTGACGGACTGTGCTTTCGGTGTCATATCGAAGAACTCTCGGCCCAGGTCAGGTTCCAGGGGGTGGATGCCATGCTGTCGTCTCCATTGCGAGGGGTGGGGTTACACGCCCCTACAGACGTGATACGGCGCTGAGAGCCGATGCACACGCCGTGCCCGGGTCAGTCCCGGCGCTGACACTGCGCTGTCGTCCTGCAAGGCGGGCCATCGAGAGAAATGGCTGCAGGCACACGGGACCTCTCGGTACTGTCTTTGTAGCTTCCTGTGCATCTAGAATTATTGCAAAATACAAAACGTATGGCAAAGGGAAAACGGTGCGAGTCTGGTTCTGACGCTGGCTCTGTCTTCTCACACCCATTCCTGCCTTGGAGCGTCTTGTGATTTTCTGCTGAAAGCTGGACACGATGCCGGTCGCTCCAGCCACCTCCCTGGTCCCGATAGGCTGTGATTCTCGGTATTTGCCCGTCCCTGGTGGGCGGGCCACAGTCAGCCATGCCGTCGGCTCTCAGCGGGATCCCAGGAGAGGTGTTGGTGTTCAGCTCGCTCAGCGTTTTCCCGTGAGGACGAGACCGGAACAGTGAGGTTTCCACCTCGAAGCGCGTGTGTCCCGAGCACGGCTTTCTCCACATTCACTGTGTTTGGAATTTGTGAACTTCTTGAAATCTGTAAACTTTTACCAGATTAGGAAAGTGTTGTGCTTTTTTTACAAAAAGCATCCTTCCCGCCCGGCTCTCGCTCTCCTGTTGGGTTCCAGTTAGGGTGTAAGACCCTCCGCTGTTGCCCCACGGACCCTCACTGCTGTCTGCTTTGTGGGTCTTCTCATTTCCAAGCTCATGGATTCTTTCTGTGTCATCTCCAGTCGTTAAGTCCGTCCACTCATTTTTTTCTTTTAGAATCTGTACATTTAACTTCTACAATTTCTACTTGGCGCTCTGTGTTTCCTGTGTTCCTGCTAAGATTCTTATGCCTTTACCCATTATAAGCAGAGTCCCTAGTTGAACATAATTACGACAGCTGCTTAGAGCCTTTGTCTGCAGTCCCAGGATCTGGGTTATTTGAGTTGCTGTCTGTGGCTGTTTTCCCTTGAGGGTAAGTGCCCTTTTCCTGGCTCTCCACATAGTGATTCTGGGTGGCATCCTGGACATGACGCATGTTGTCGTGGGGACCCTGGGTGCTGTTCTATCCGCCAGCTAAGCTGGGGTTTGCTTTGGCAGACAGTCACCGAGGTGAGACTAAGGCCGGTTCTGTCGTGCTGGCCGGGTGGCGGCCAGGGGTTCGCGCTTCCCGTGGAGGCTCGGCAGTCTCCATTGTAAGCGCCGGCAGGAGGTGAGGGAGAAAGGATCTCAGGGAAGGAGGGCAACAGGCAGGTTTGGTGGGGGCTCCGCAGCT